TAAAGCCCAGTGGCCATTTTCAAACTCATGAGGGTTTATATACATGATGCTGTAGAGATGCTAGAGTGTTCTAATTAGGATATGGTGCAGACTCAATTAACTGAGTCTGCTCTAATTAAAACTCAGAGCAGATTCAATTAGAACACATTGGAACACGTGTATAGGCACCCTTGGGATCCAATCCCGATTTCCTATTTGCACCCACTCCACCTATACATACACTATGAGTACAGGGATGCACCTGCTGTGACAAGGGCTACCTGGAGAGGCCAGAAGCACCATTCTGCTGGATCCACTTTTCCGCTAACCCCCAGATAAGCTGCTTGGCCCAGCGCTGCTTGGTCCAACTCCTATAGCTGGGCAAGAGCAGCAAAGAGCTACCCCTACCATGGCAAAGACATGGGAGGGGGGTATTCTGGTACCTCCTCAGAGTCAGTGCCCAGGGCTAGTGCCCTGCTCCCCACACCCTGGTGCACCAGACGCATCCTGCCTCATGAGGCACAGGAAACATCCCTCCCATACAGTCCAGACCAGAGGTAGGCAACTTTTGGCACACATGACAGAACATGGCATATGCAGGCACTTTGCTTGGCAGGTGGACAGCAGGGGAAGCTGCAAGGGGTCCAACCTTTGTTGTGGCAGTGCTGCCACCCCAACCCCTTCCCTGCCGTTCATCTTGAGGCACGCATGCACCTACTGCCAGCAACAAGCTGAGCCGGGGCTCCACAGACCTCAGTACAGCTGCTTGCAGCCTCTCCACTGCCTGCTGCAAGCGGCCCAGGCTCCATGGCATGTGGCAGGGGCCAGCCCAGAGCCTGGACTGGCTGTGGCAGGCAGCCAGGAGGCTGCAAGCAATTGCACCAGGGTCTGCAGAGCCCTGGCCTGGCTTGTATCCACTGCCAGCAACACCTCAGGGTAGCTGATGGGGAAGAGCCCATGGCTGCACTGCCACAACAAGGATTGGGCCCCTCACGGCTCCCCGGTTACCCATCCCTGGCACGCCAACATCTTACAAGTTGAGGTTGTGGGTGTTTTTGGCACTCTGCCCAAAAACATTGCTGACTTTTTTTTTAAAGAATTTTTTCATGTTCCCAGACAAATCAAGTCCAAATTCATGAGTCAGTCCAGAACCATAAGTAAACCTACACCCAGCAAACATCCTCCACCCCCACCAGGGGCTTCAGATATTTCCAATGTCTTTTGGCAGGCATCCTACATGCAGACCCCAGCCCAGAGGCTTGGGGTTCAGATGCCCCCAAATTTTGCCTGCCCTCAGCCATATGGCTGCAGGAGCAAGCCAGGGAGGAGCCTCTCATTTCCATAAAATAGGCATTAAGCCCCAACACCTCAGCAGATACTAAACCACACCAGAAGAATAGTTATCCTCAGGAACACTCAAGAAAAACTGCCTCCAGGGATTCAGATAAATGGTGTTTCCCCTGCCAGGTAAATATGGTCCAGACTATACTTGAATAAGGAGGACCTAATTTCTCAGTATTATGACACTGCAAAGAAAGTCTTGAATCTACCTGAAAGTAGGGGTGCACCAATAGAGATTTGTTGGGCAGATACCGATGGCTGATTTTTAATGAGCCATATTGGCAGATACCGATCAGACTGCCAATATGCAGCCAGGCAGCTTGGAGAGCAGCAGGTGGCTGGTAACTCTGTTGTGGGGGGAAAGGGTGAGGGGGGGAAAGGGTGGGGCAGATCGAGGTCCCTGTGGTGAGGGAGGGAGTGGGGCTGGGTAGGCTACGGGCAGGCTCTGCACAGCCAGGACAGGGCACGGGACAGAGCCGCAGCTTGTCCATGGGCCATGGGGAGGGGGGCAGCTCCTGCCACTGCACGTACCCTAGGAGGGCATGCAGGGGCATATGGCCCTGGACCTGCAAATGGGGTGAGGGTGGGCTGCCACTGCGGGCTGGGGCCAGAGTGGCACCAGGCTATTCCTGGCAAGGGGGGCTGGGCCAGGCTGCACACAGCGATGCTGGGAGAGCTACAGGGACCCCAAAATTTGTCATAGCCCCCCCCAACTCCCTCTCCCAGCGCTGCCACTGCCGCTTGCCCCAAGAACCCTTCCCTCACAGACTTACCAGCCGGACCCGGCTGCTCTCCATGCTGCCAGGCTGCGCTCCTGGCCACCTGTGTGCTGCGCTGTGGCTGTGCTCAGGCACGGGGCATTTATCAGCCACATCAGCCAAAAAAACCCATTGCTGATACTGTCTATTTTCTTCATATTGGTGCCAAACTGATATGGGACTGATGTATCAATGCACCTCTACCTGAAAGTCAGACCCAAGAGGCTTAGCATAAGTATCCTTATGTGAGGTACACAGTATTCAGTGTCAGCGCTCTCTAATACAATAAGAAAGCAGAAACCAAGCCCCCATGGAGGACCCTGTCTGCATGAAAATCAAACTGTTGGTGAGGGGAAAGCAGAAAAAGTTTTGCCATACATTTGCTACCCTTCCCATTACAAATTGGGCATGCAGAGTATTTGAGTATTTGCAAAGTATTAGGGCAACTAATACTACCAACTGACTTCTATCCCCAAACTACCCGATAAAAGAACTGAGCATGCAACTGTAGAGAGAACAGGAATAACTTTAAACCACAAACAAAGGCCGACTTCTACGTTGGATAAACTACCTAAATGACCGTTCTCTACATCAAATCAAAACAGGACTCAGAGAAACAATAGAGCACTGTTACTCAAATATCTGAATGGACAAATGAAAAATCACACGCTGCATCCGAGAGCAAAACACGACAGAAAACACATTTGACAACCAAATAGAACGCTTCTAAGTGCATATATTAGCTATCAAACAATTTCTAAATACAAGGGCCCTCTTACTTTAAGTGAACATGAGAAGAAACCAGCTTTGTGCAAATAGTTTTCTTCGCTGAGCTATGCCTTAAAATGGTTGCTGATCAACTCATTGTCTAGGTGCCTCCCCAGGGTGAGAGCAACCTTGCCGTGGCTGGAGCCACACAGCACTAAGGCTGTGTAACTTTATTCTCATCACAGCTCCCAGCCCTCGGCTTTTCCAAGTTCCTTCTGAACTGGTTTGACTTCGAATCGCGGACTCGAGGACATGAGGGCTGGAAGGGACCTCAGGAGGTCACATCAAGTCCAACCCCCTGCTCAAAGCTATACCATCCCCGACTAGATCATCCCAGCCGAGGCTTTGTTTACCGGGGGCTTAAAAACCTCCACGGATGTACCGCCCCGGAGAGAAAACAAAGGCGGCAGGATCAACGCCTGCCCCCCGCCGCGCCCCCCAGCAGCTTTGCACCAAACCCCGCTGCCCTGGTTACATGGCACTCACAAGTTTGGCTGGGGGGGGTTGGCTGCTGTTTTTTGTCCCCGCCGGGCAGGGAAGGAGGGAGCCCTTGTGAACAGCCTGCCCGCCCGCGGGCGACTGCCGGGAGGGGCAGGGGAAGCCCCGGGCGCGGAGGCTGCGGCGCCGGAGCCCCAACAGACCAGC